TCACTTGCCAATGTGTTGTAGAAGTGTCTTATGTCTTTGCGTGCACTCTTCTTCATTTCTTTGTCCAGTGTAGTGTTTTATAGGTTGTGTTCAGTTCCTCTTTTCTTTGTTCATCCTTGCAATGCACTGCACTGCGCTGGTTCACCTTCTACTCGCCATCTTCCTCTCTCTTCTCTGTCAGCTTCCATGTTTTCGTCGAGATCTATTCCTCGTCGTATTTCTTCTTCCTCCCTGATACGGTAATACAGATTTCCTTCCACATCTCTTTCAAAGAGTTCCAGTGTTTTTCCACACAGTTTTCTTGAGGGGCGTTGCTCAATATCTCCCATTTTGCCCTGATTGCTGACGTGCAGATGCCCCTTGTAGTTTCGTTCTTCACTTTATGTTCTGGGTATTAAACTTGAACTGTAGTCTATCATCACCAGCTTCTTTGTGGACTTTCAACTTGATTTTGAAGTCAGGTTCCTTGCACTGAATAGGTAGTGGGGTGAACCCACATCTGCTCCTCTTCCTGATCTGATCTTGTGTCGAGTAGGCTGCATCTCTGCTTTCTTCACATTGAGATGAAGTCGATATGATTCTTAGTGTCTTGTGTCTGGTGAAGTCGAATCCATGTCGTTTTGTGAATATCCTTGTGTTTGTACACACTGACTCCAATCACCAAATCGTTGAATGCACAGAGGTCTGCAAACAGTTCTCCATTTTCATTCATTTCATCGAGTGCTTCTCGACCCATGATGAGTTCTTTTCCTATGTTGTCTGCTCCAAGTGTGGCATTCATGTCACCCATTAGAATGAATTTCAGTGTCGCTAAATGGTGTGGGGTCTTGTCCAGTACTGATTGCAGTTGGCTGCAGAATTCCTCCTTCTTCTCTTCATCTGCATTATTTGTAGGTGCATGGCGTAGTGTTGCAATGTATGATTGTGACTTTACGTCCTTTTGAGTTGAATCCATCTTGCTGTCATGATCCTGATTCTGCAGGAGGAGGAGATTGGTTCCCACTGCATGAGAGCCTTCGATGCTGTTAGGGACTACATGATAGCGACTACAAAAATCGGTGTGCTCGTGGTTTTCGTTTGCGTGACAGTATCGGAGTAGATTATTGGCTCCTCTCCAGTTGACAGTTTGGACAGTCTGCTTCCACTCCATCTGCTTTCGCAGATTCCATACACTTCCATGTCATACCTTCTCATCTCTTTTGCAATTTAAGCAGCCTTGTTAGGTTCATACATGGTGCGGACATTCCATGTCCCCATGTTTACTTTTGCTTTCATCGAGAGAAGACACATCGACCAACTGGTTTCCCTAAGGCAGGCTTTCACCACCCGGGGTCATTTCGTCTCTCCGATTCCAGCGAGGAATAAGTTTATTTCTATTTTTTTATATTTTGTTTGTGCTTTGAAGTTTCTTTAGGGGTTGGATTGGTTTTCCGAGGTAAGGTTGGTAGCCCTATGCCCCACCTTCCTTCTTTATCCGGGCTTAAGACCGGTTAGTAAACTAGGCGAGGTTTCCCAGTTTGATAGTTTTACAACACTATAAACACTGTGATTGCCATCATTGGTATATAAGGGATAGCCAAAGTAGATAAAAGTAACGTTATACCTAGTTGGTAGTTAGTTAAACTTTTATGAATTCAGGATGTACATTTTCAGTCTTAGTTATCCGTGTTCATATGTCATAAAAGCGGTAGACAGGGTCAGCATATGAACTGTAGAAATCCTAATGTTTTTGTGTGTTATTTTTCTCCACAACCTGTTTGCCTACGCTAAATATTTGGTCCATACGGAGGTATTCATCACGGACTGACATCAGTTGGGGAAACATTTAAAACCTGGGAGCGCTGAACAGAAGTTGGAAACTGTGAACCACTGAACTCCGACCCAGTGACTAAATGGTTAACACGTTCGCCGTGAAACTTGAAGGTCCTGAGTTCGATGCCTAACCGGGTTGTGGGTGTGAACTGCTGAGGAATCTCATACTAAAACGAAACAGCTGTCCAGTGCGCTTAATTTCCTTGTTAATCCATACAACTGTGCCTCGTTTATCTAAGCAGTTAATGTTTTCGTAGCAGATTACAGGTTCCAATCCTACTCCACCTAGTTAGGTCTGGTAAGACAGATAATGTCATCCACTTTTACACAATAGATAATTGCTCGATACATGAAGTTTGATTTGCTTGAGAAGCTGAAACCCAGTCATGGAGACAATATATTGAATAACTGTTCCATGGAAGTAACGTACATGTACAGTGATTAATAAAATTTACTATTCTTCGATGTAAAAAAAGGTATTTGCTCCTGATGAGATAGGTATCATAACAACCTAGACGGAAGGTTGATTAAGTAGGCCATAACACTGAGACACCTTCTCTGAGCCTATGGTAACGTAAAAGCACAAGGTGAATTATCATTTGAAGTGTTGGTTAAGAATGTTTATCCCCTTCATTGTTATTGCTCTTCCATACAGATGCTTGTGGAGATGGCTTTCCGTGCTAATAATTTCACAAAGATTCATCTCTGATCTGGATATTGATAGACAATAATATATACATATATTAGATCAAGATGTCTTCCGGACGCTATAGTAGAAAATCTCAATAGTTGAGATACGTTCGTTACCAATTAAAAATCCTTTAGGGAATGAAATTCTCGAATCACAAAGAAGAGAATGAAGTAGTTGAATCCACCGACCATTTAACTTTCCTAAGCAGTTAAGTCAGCTGAGATAAGTCAATAAACTATACAAAATGCCTTGTCAGATCTCACTAATTACGGGGTCAGTAAGATAATGCGAAAAAAATACGGTTAATAACGCTGTCTGATCTGGCAAGGAGTTGTGAAAAACGTTGGGCAGGGTTAGGAGATATGAAAGCATCACAGGTATTTAGTAGGTGGCATCTTCGAAATGTAATACGTATGTAGTGGAGTCATCTGGTAAGCGATAGCTGAGTTAGGTGTAAAACAGTAGCTAGTCGAAGCATACCTACCAACCAGAAAGAAAACCTTTATTGAATGAGATGTCTAGACAACACGGTACGACTGATTACCTCGAAGTATTATTGTTAACAGAGTATAGTTTAAAAGCCTTCACATGTGATTAGAGAAGACATGATACGACTAACTGAAGTATCTAGCTGTCGATTTGAGTGGTATCAGTTTCTTGTTGAAGGTCTTCAGTCAATCAATCAATATCAACATAGGATCAAATATGTAATGTCCAAGTTGCAACACCTCATATCAGCACACCAAGTGACAAAGCAATCAGATGAAAGATGAAGAAAGAGAGATCGGTCAAAAGCAGTAAGACAGTGGAAGGAGGAATAAGAAAATGCTGAGTTCAGCATAGCGATTAAGATAAAACTACTGGTTTTTGTTATCACGTAGACCCCGACTGGTTAATCTGTATCTCCCAATATGACTCAAACCAACAGTTAAGGACTTTTAGTCTGGCCTTCCAGGGCCTTTTTTCAGCCTGAAATTTCTTGAGTTAACATTACGCGACGAGGCAGACGGTGACTAGGCATGCATAAAACATATCACAACCATCTCAGTCGATGAAGGTTCACATCCGTATCAAATGACTTTCCTCTCCTGCCTAAAACTCTACACCTGGTTTCTTCGTTACTCACGTGATGACACCACGACTCATGACCTATGCTAAGAAAGCGATGGAGGTCAAACTTCAAATGAACTTCCCGTTATTATCATTATTTTGTTATTAAAATCTTTGGTGCTTATCAGAAACTCTCACATTATACTACAATGTAACTGAATCAAAAATGAGTAAGAATGAATTTAGTAAACTGACAGAATGTCAACATTTTCATAGTTTGTAACACCCCCACCCCATCCTGCAGTAATCAGATAAAAGTCTAGAAGTAATCATATCACAATTAGATGCAAATTCAAAGTTAATACTTCCCAGCTTCAAATTAATCATGATATGTAATGTAGGGTTTACTCCTAGTGTAAGACTGAGGCAAATAATGAGTAAAAGGGGGTCGACAACGGAGAAATTTATGAATATGTATGAGAATATCATTACCAGGTTAAAGTAAACAGCTCTAGAGTAAGTTAACTCATGACACCCTGAGTAACCACAACAGTATCAAACTCACAGGATGAAAACACCAGACGAAAGATGCAACATGCAAGTAGTACTGAGAAAAGGAAGTACCACTTTTAAGGTATTGTATTCCAAATTTCTCTAAATGAATGCACTTTGAGTATTTGTCTAAGGTCTAAGGTTCCTACCGACATATGTGCTCCAATTACATTTAGTTCCGTTATCAACTTTATACCTGCTTATTCTGGGTTCATCAAGTCAAACTTAACTGTAGAAGGGATTCACTAAAACAGAAACATCTTTTCTATATTATCGATGAACAATGGTTTTCAGTCCCAAGTAATTTGATTCTGAGGACTGCAGTCCCCATATTGAAACTTTACTGAATATACACCTAAGTAAGTTAATGATAACGGTTTAACCACAGAACGTGATAGTCTCAGCTTTAACATCAGATATCATTAGGAGTGGACGCATGCAACACTTCATAGTCATCGAATAAGTACAGCACAGCTGACCAATATTAGCTGGTTGGAGATAAGCGATAGAAAGCGCTGCTAGACCTTGTGTTTGATGGTTTTTAGCACTCGTCAGTAAGGGGTATCTGCAACTTTAACGAAACTTATGTGTCCCATCTGAGACTCAAACCTGTGTGACCCAGTGCTGGAGTCAGACACGTTACCACTGAGCTATTCAGAGCATGATTGACCTGACTAAGAAACTCAGCATCGCGATGCACTGAGAGAGATGTTAGGGCTGAATGGAAGCAATCGACAAGAACCCCTGCTTGACCTAGGTTTCATGCTTTTCAGTAGATCGCAAAGTGATCGACAGAATTCGATCAGAACACAGGACTACGCAACACCCTCCATCCCTAATGACCAATCAATCCTTCTCCTCTCCCTCATTATTAGTAACAAACCAATAAAGCAAATTAAACGAAAAACATTTTTCATTATTTTCAGAGGCAAGTTAAAATTAAACAACAAATCATGATATCGTAATTTCCGTATAGTACAAGTATGATATAATAATAATAATAATAATAATAATAATAATAATAATAATAATAGTAATAGTAATAGTAATAATAATAATAGTCTCTCGTCAAGTTTGATGAGAAAGGGAAAAAAATAGACTGATTTTATAAAGTACGCGTGTGTGTTTGGGTGTATGTGCAATAGGTATATGTAAAAGTAGGCAAGTATAATAGTAAATGATACGATAGAAAAAACAAAAAATAAGAGGAATAAAGAGAGAGAGATCCATTGCGTGGGAATTAATGTTTATCGCGCGCTTCTTCATCTTTGTAACTCTTTTGTGGAAAGGGGGAGAAAGAAGAGGGAATAAGAAAATGATGTATTAAACAATAGATGATTACGACCAGCTGTATAATTTTTCTACTTATTCATATTACTTGTGTCCATGTCCAATAGGCAACTTCATCAATCATGATAGGTGATAAAAGAAGAAGAAGAGTATCAGCAATGGAAGTTTGAGACACTATGAAATGATCATGAATACGAATGCATGAATGAATGAACGAACGAGAGAAAATGGTCTACATATGTCCCCATGTAGCACATTTGACTGTGATACTATTTACACATGTATAGTATATATGTATCATAGATATAAGAGAAGAAGCCTAGGTATCATGAGAATAAAGTAGAATACAACAAAATGAAAGAAGGAAAAAATTCAAAACCAATCAACAAATAAACCGAACCTGCAATAATAAGTCACTGGCCAAAGTGTAGGACAAGTTGGAAATGACAAAGAGACTAGTAGAAAATGAAACTGTGTACTGTAAACCGGAAAAAACGAGAGAGAAAGAGCACACGCGTGGAAGATGTACCACTATGTATCAGTTCGCATGTGTGTCTTTACGTGCAGATGTGTGTTAGACAAAGAGAAAAAACAGGAGGGGGAAACAAGTTTTGCATGACAGATTATCAACTTATAAAAAAGAAACACATCAGTTATTCAGTCCACCCATCAATCGATCAGATTAGTTACCAACTAAATAACAACCGTGGATCGTTTACGTGTCGATCTCTACATAAGTCCACAAACAAGAAGGATCCCCCCCCCCCCCAACAGCAGTAACAGTAGTAGTAATATTAATAATGATCGATAGACAGATAGATAGGTAGATACAAGAAAAAACAAACGAAATCAATGCTTAAGAAGAAGAAGATGGAGAATATAAATGTACAACTATGCAGTTGCTTGACTAAAAAGTGTGCTGCTTCTAATATGAGACAGGCGAATCATTCTACACTAAATAGACAAAGGTATGATGAACACTGAAAAAGAATGAAACTTTTTGCAGAAGACAACAATATTCCTAATTATTTTTAATAATAATAATACAAGACTAATACACATTTTCTTCATACAGAAAGAGAGAGAGAAAAGAAAGGAAGAAATCAAAAGTTAATCATGTGTATATCGTATATATGGACGGATGTCTAAGTGTGAATATATATATGTGTATGTAGTAGATAATTATGCTTATTATTATAGATGTGTTATATAACGAACACATGAATATGTACAGATTCACGGATGCCTGTGCCCATGTAGGAAATAGTCTGTGCGATGGAGGCGTAATGCCTGATCAGTCAACGTGAAAGCATAGATACTTGTTGTCACACCCAAACACAGACATATAGATCTATGCGTAAGACGAATAAAGAGAAATTCCCTTACTTAGCAGATAGACAGATATACATAAACAAGCATAGTAAGAGGATACAAAAATGTCCGTTCGTTGACGCTCACACACACACACACACATACACATACATACAACGCGATAACAATAAGCACTCACAAGTGACAAGTAACTACCACTATCACCACCACAAGTCTTATTATCCTTTCAGGTTAGTACTAATACTTGAAGTAGTCGCAGAGTAATATATGTACACAAATTAAATCAAACTATTTCCTGCACTAACTGGTCACTTAAAGCATGATTATTAAACATAGTCATTCATCAAAATAAATATAACAATGTTAACAGGAGTAGAGCAAGAAGATTAACACCAATCTCATTTCTTCATAGTGGAGATAAAGCCTCGAGAATGAAATATATCCAAAGAAGACGAAGAAGAGGCTATTGTTGGGATAAAGACCAACTATAGAAATTTAGCATTATCAGTTTGTAGTAATTGTCATCCATCTCATTAAATATTATTACATTATTATATACACAATCGGATATTCTTAAAGAAATTACTGACAACATGGATTGAAGGATAGTCAGATAAAGTTCATTCGAGATAGACGGTAAGAGAGGAAGTTAGTATACTGCATCAAACAAATATGTAACATTTTCATTAGGTAAAAGATAGTAAGGAATGAGAGATCTATGAAAGAGACTTTATTTACTTCTTTTAGTCCATATCCTTAGTTCCTCTCCTTCATCCCCAACCCGTCCCACTACTACTCAATAGTTGCATTCAGTAGTAAACTAAACAATCGATGATGAATACACTTGTGTTGATAAACCAGATGATGCAGACATTTGAGTCTCATAATTATCTTGTGATTGTCTAAGCATCATGTTACGATTTCCACCGCCACTATTATTGTTTTCTATCATTCTAATTGCTGTCAAGGCGGTAGTATCAGTTGAATGACCAGTACCTTGTGGTGGATTTAAAGGGAATTTTGTATTATGCATTTGACCAGAATACATTTCTCGAGTAGTATTACTATTATGACTAGGTGATGAAGATGATGTACAAGAAGATGAAGGCATTACAGGATAATTCATTGAATTCCCAGCAGACTGATGCCAGTTTGACCGATTACCAGCAGCAGCACTCATCATTTGTTGTTGTTGATGATGATGGGGAAATGAATGCGGTGGATGAGAATTCAATGGTGCCAATGAATTCATATTATTTTTCACTTCTTCATTCATTGAATTCGGTATAAATACCCGTTTACCAGTAGCAGTAGTGGTAGTAGTGGTAGTAGCATGTCCCATATTTGTAGAATTGTCAATGCCTGGATTTGATGTTGTACAACGTAAATTGTTATTTTCACCAAGTAGAATATTATTATTATTACTATTATTAGGAGCATTACAATTATTAGTACTACTGGGGACACTACTACAATTATTATTATTATTATTATTATTATTATTATTATTATTATTATTATTATTATTATTACCATGTGGCATAACTCCTGTAGCAGACATATTATCAACAATATTACTACTGTTACTATTGTACATTGCAGAGGATGACATAGCTGAACTAGACGCTGAATTGGACATTACAAATTGAACTTGATTTGTTGAACTCCAGTCATTATTACCAGAATAGTCACACATTGATGAAGACATCATCATTTGATGATGTTGCTGCTGCTGCTGATTCTGATAATACTGATGATAACTACTCTGTTGATGATGAATATGATTTGATTGATTTTGTGATTGAGTTGATGAATAGGATGGAGGTTTACCAGTTGGCTGACGAATATATTGAGATTGTTGTTGCTGTCCTATATTGACACGTTGTTGTATTGGTACATCGAATGAATTAGGAAACATTTGATGATGATTCAACATGTTATCAGTAGACAATGGATCAACAGATGACAATGCCATTTCATTATTACACGAAGAATAATTCATCATTTGACCATCACGAAAGCCTTGTTGATGCATACCTCTGACAATACGAGTATCAGAAATTTGATCTAGAGTAAAATTAAAGGGAGGAAATATTATCGTAACACTAAATGATTAGCTAATTTGATCAAATTAAAAACACTAAACCAAACAAATCTCATTTACCAGTATTGGTGGATAGCGACTAACAGAAGAGAGGGAAAAAAACAGAAAGCACTTTCTCTCTAATTTGGGACATATCACCAGCCAGACGTGCCTACCTCCTAGTTAATGATGTTCTTCCCTTTGAAATGCAAACCCAGAGCCCATAGCTTCAAACGTTAGACCCGTTGTCAACTAGGCTACGGATTTACAATAACCCTACATTATCGGCCAACGGGTATAGAGCTTACTTAATGTCACACCTTATAGTTTCCATTGGTTACTGACAAATATTTTCATTCTTTTGCAGCAACAGATGTTCGGTTCAATTGTAAATCAAAGTACGCACCAATATACAGTAAGATACTACTTCAATCATCTAAGTAACATGAAGGTGGTAATTAATTTGTCACCAATTGTAAACCCAAAGGAACGACACAGATGTTTGGCTAACATAAATATGAATATTTGAAACAGATGCATAAAATTAAATTCATCTTAGAACCTATCCTTTATGTACAATTGCATTCTCTCACTAATTAACGACATTCATCACTTCTGATTTGCTGCTATACAAACTCTGAGTTTTTCATCTAAATAAACCGCTACATTTACCATAGGTTTTTCTCTACTCATTTTTCGATGCTCTTTACCATCACTCTTTTCTTATCAGCCCAGTGCGTGTTTGTCCAGGATGCCTATATCTCTTATATTCCATACTTACCGTTTGTGTATATTTGAACTAGTTTACTTAGCGCTCTTTTCCCGCGCATGAGTCATATTTCGTATGACCCGCTAGTGTTGGCTCCTGCCTCTTTATATGTACTAATTATTCCTTGTATTTCAAGGTTATTGTAAACTCTATAAATAGGGCCTGTTTTCACTAATAAACGTTTTCAGTCCGAGACACCATAAACTCATCCGATTTCCAGTCTTTTAAATTTCTCTTTGCGAATCACTCGGGTTGAATAATCTCAATCCTCGACTATCAATCGTTAAGCATTTTTGTTCGTTCGCATCATAACAGCGTTCAGTCATCTTTCTATGGATTACCAAAAGCTAGATAAACGCTAGTTTTAGTTGTAACCTAATAGCGAAGTTTACATTTCTTCGAACAGGAGTGCACCACTTCTGGCACGGTATTAAAGTTGCGTTTTTTGTTGAATTTCCAAATAGAGAATGCAAATGATGAGGAGTTGAAAAATTGCACAACTTAGTGAAAACACATAATATGAAAAAAAAATAAAACTGAGATAGGATATATGATACATGTACGATAATACTTATGATCACAGAATAAACTCAGGTGTAAACAGTGTAAGAGATAAAACACAGTCAAACAGATAGACACGTCAATCAATACAGAACGTCGTACAAAACGCTGCCACGCTTCACAGAAGCACGGAAAGAACAAGTGGGTAGCAAAAGAATGATAGTAAGGTAGACAGAAGTGTATGGGAGAAAGAACTTTTAAAAATTAAGACTAGTAAAAGTGATCAAACTATCATAGATACCAGGATGAATACATCCCAGCAATTGGGAACAATCTTCACTCATATTACCAAGAGTCCTATACCACACATTCCAATTGTTCCGAGGACCCTAGCCACATTGTTTGTACCTCTTCTTGCATGGCTCAGACCAATAGTTACGAACTGCATGCACAGGTGCCATATCTTGGTCAGGCCACCCTTAGCCTTCTTCCAACTCAACCGTACTTCGGGTAACATATTACACTGAGGTAGGCAGTGGCTCGGCGTACGCAACAGATGTCCGGACCGGATCCCCTCGGTTGGTGAAGGTTCACAACCTATTCGACTGACTTCAAACACATCCAATTTAGCTAACCTAGTTATCCCTAATTTTACATTGATACCAATCAGTTAGGAAACATTTGTCTCAAAATTAACACACTGCCAATGTTGTAAGATCAAATCTTAGGCACTGTAGTAGATTATCACTCCATATTATTATCGGAAACTGTTTTCAACATCAATTACGTAATCCAACTTCACCAGTTCAAAATGATTTTGAAAAAAAGTTATTGAACATGAAATACTTTACCAAAATTACTGATATAATTCACGAGAATGCTATGTTTTACAATGATAACTCACTTTGATTATTAGATGACAGTGTAAAACTATTCAGACCGGTATCATTAGCTGAAGACACTGTCAATGGACCACTTGGACCTAATGGAAGTGAATCAAAATTAGCCTCATTCCATGTATATGCTGAATTATTCGGTCGACTAGGAAACTGGCCACTCTGTTGAGGATTTTTATTATGTGGTTGAAAGTTAGACACATAAGTTTGTTGTACAACTGACTGAGATGATGGATAGTGTTGATTTGGTGAATAAAATTGTCCAGGTTGCCCAGAAATGTTTTGATTGGGATATGACTGATTGGATTGGAATGGAGTACCACGTATAGAATTGTCAGTCAGATGTGGATTATTATCAGAGTCAGGCGGAATATACTGGTAACCACGCACTGACCCAGACCTAGGAATTTGATTAGATCCAGGTGATAACCCTGGTGGTCCTTGATTAGACACTTGGGGAGTAACAGTAGGAAGATACTGAATTGTATGTGGTGTTCTAGGTGTAATCTGAATGCTAGCATTGCCATAACCACCAACAGAGGACCCTAAAGGTGTACACACTGATGAAGTAATCACTGAACTAGAAGGGAGAACTGAAGGTACTTCAGGTTTAGAGGAACAATCAAGACGATGATTGACAGGATCAGAACTGTATAAAAGTGAAGGGTTATTTGAAGACATTGGATTATATTCATTTGGTGTTGGATTCGTCATTCGTATTGTACTTTCTGGTTGTCGAACTGATCGTACTTGTTCATGAGGTGGCTGTTGCTGTTGAGCAAAATGTATCTGCATTTGACCAGTTGAACCAGGAGCACTTACATGTTGATAATTCATTTGTTGCACATTTAATTGGGCATTGAAGAACGTGTTGTTCACCTATGTTAAACAAATAATAGAATATAAACATCCCTGTATACCATAACGTGTACAGACAGACTTTTAAACAAAGAAATTTCCGCATAATACCTCTTTCTTCATATATTATATGAATCAACTCATAAACTGTACTGTCATTATGGTTTCATTTTTTTAAAAATCTGTTTTCTGCGTATTAACGATCATATTTGTTCCTCATAATAACGACCTGACCAACTTTATTGAAAAACCTATCAATGCTTTCAAACCATTTCAATGTTGTATGAACGCGAGAAATTGTTTTACAAGTTTACAAAATATAACTGTCAATGAGTGTCATCAAAAATGATCTAAAGAAGTATTTCGTCAACTGTTAAAATAAGTAACCAAGATGTAAGCATTACGCATCCCTAGAACTGACTTTTCGCCTTCGTTTTCAAACATATTAATGCTTTCTATGAGAGAAATAACAAATAAGATAGTGTAGAGTTTCTTCAGAAGATGCAACATTCTGTAAGTGATTTACAAATTGCACCGTGTAACTTGACATTTCTCATAGCTGAGTAGTTTTTCAACTGCCCAACTGTAATGGTGTCAACATAGTCATAAGGTTTGATTTCTGACACAAAAATGTCATGAACTAATGAGATTGCAACATTTGGTCAAAAACTTATTAGTAGACTTAGAGTAGGTAAGCGATATAGTCCTGCTGGGTGAAGATAGTTGACAAGATGTAACGTTTTCTGGATATCTTGAGCATAATTCGAAAATGTTTGAGATACACTTCTCATCAATGAAATGCAAACTGTTGTCCAGAAGCTTGTCTGCTTTGCATCCGGTTTTAAAATAGGGGGGGGGGGGGGGGAAGTAAATGAGTTCATTGACCACTTAATTAGGAAGATAAGTCAGCGCTGGCGGCTACGTGATCGACGAAAGCTCTGCACGGATACAAAAGTGTCGCTTGACTTTGGTCACGTTACGGCACTTGTGGCACTGGTGTGATATCCGACTGTCTACAGTTCGCTCTGTCCTACTGTATGGCTGTGGAAGGTGACTATTAGAGCGAGAGGATATGAAGAGGCTCTAGGTGTACGACCACCGTTGGACTTGTAGCACCGGTCATGTGTCGTAGCATCATCATGTCAGTAACATACAGCTTACGTGTAGAATTGTGAGTTGTGGGTCTTCATCAACTCAAGTGGCTGGGATGTGTTACACACACCTAATCAGTGTTCAACCTGTCGCGCAGTGTTAATTGATGGGAGTTTAATCAGAAAAAAGGTTAAAGGTCGGCAGACTAAAACTTGGCATTCAATTGTGAAGTCTGTGTTGGAGAATGCAGACATCATGGTTGGGACCCATATGATAACCTAAATCAGCGGTTGGAGACTCGAAACGACATGGCTAAGAATCGATCTCAGTGACACGGATGCATCCACACATTATTTTCATCTTCATCATCATACTGGCTGTTATTATTCCTTCATTTCTTTTGCGTCTATCTATCCGTCTCTCCTTTCTTTTTTTGCATTTTTCTACCACTTTTGATTACCCTTTTACTCATTTCAATTTCGTTTTTGTGTTTTCTACCTTGATATAATGTGTGATGATATACTTGGACCGAGTCCTAAATAGGACGAAACAGGTGTCCTGGGTTCCACTGCTAGCCACAATCAAATGAAATACTTAGGTTTGGTTTCTAATTACACATACGACAGATGTATACACAAATGATAATAAAGTGAAAATGTTCTCATAGAAAAGTTAAGACAAAAGAAGATGAAGAAGTGAAAGGATTCATCAAAATCTCGTATACATCTTGTGTATTCATCAAACATCATAAATACATAATCTAACTAATTTTCAAATATTTCATAATTAGGAAGATATCATCGATAATGTGTTGTTTTGTTTTTATTCTTTTAGACAAACAATGTTGTATGTGACATTTACTTCAATAAAATAGGTTAACCAAAAAACTGTTTTACTTTTAGTATACAGAGAATTTAATTTTACAACTATTATTATCATTATTATTATACTCTTCGCCTATTTTTCTCTTTTTTCAAGTGAACTATTTACTGAATTCTACATTCCATTGTAAAGCATACAGTTCAGACTGTATGTATATAACGCCAATATGAACACAATAAACATTAGGCGAAATCAAATATACGTAGAAGACTGTGAACATCAATCTTCTTTAAACTTGCAGGTAGACGGAAATCAGCAGAGAATCTCGCATACAAATGCATCATTTCAAGTTGACACACTTCACAGTAGTACACAAAGAATATGTGAGTAGAAAAGTAGTCACATGGAAGTAGACAGGTTTGTGTGAGAGAATCAACAATTTGAAAATCATGGTTAGTGTAAATATTCTAGCTTTAGAAGACGCCAAAGAGCGATTATATCACGTCTGTGATAAAGGAGAGAAATCTTCTTGTGACGACCGTAAGAGAATTAGTTTGACTAATATTCTGTCCAAGATCCTATGATCCATAGTTATCCCATGACTAACTGGAGCTCAAGAACGGTAAACTCGAGAAAACTAGACAGGTTTCAAACCTGGATCATATGACACTTGCCATATTTCTTGACCTGAAGGCAACATTCGACTCTGTCAACTGTTAGGTGTTGTGACAGTATCTGACTGTGAAGCAAGTATCGAGTAAGTATGTAACGCTGATCAAAGCTCTCTGCTCGAACTCATACAGCCATGCAATGGCTTATGGAAAGTTGTCGTTTGAAATGATGAAAACTAGGTGTCCGCCATGGATGTCCACTGTCATCGTCCGTATTTGATTTCGTCATAGACGTCCTAATCGACATAACCTTAGACACACCTCAACTCACATGGATTGACCTACTTCCTGTAAATCATCTGGATGGTTTGGAGTATGCGGACGATACTGTGCCGCTAAGTGAAGACTATGATAAAATGGTCTTCTGAACGCGTTGAGCAGAAATCTGAGTATGTTTGACATAAGTTACGCTGGCACCTGTCAAATGTAAGATGATGTTCTAGGATTGGTTTGATGATAGAAAGTGAAGTGGTGGAATGTGCCAACCGCTCCACTTACTTGGGGAGTTTTATCAACCCAAATGGGCTGGTTGTTGACGGAATCTCGGCTCGGACATAGAAGGCCCATTCGGCATTTGCCAACTTGCGCCATTCCTGTTGTCGGGCTTCCAGATACCCAACTATCTATCAAACAACGAGTATCCTCTGCTGCACTCCGTTCTGTCCTGTTATACAGTTGTGAGACATAGCCGTAGAAACTAGAAGATATAAATCGGTTACAAGGTTTTGATCACAGATGTTTTGGAAGCATTACTCGCGTTTAATACAATCATCGTATGAGCAATGTTGAGGTCAGGTGAAAAGTACTAGGCAAGACAGGCAAGTTGATTGGTTGAGTTGTGAACCTTTATCGACTGAGATCACTCGGACAGGTACTGCACATACAGAGCCACAACCTACCTCAATGTGTCACGCTACGGGGAAGTTAGATTAGGTTCACAAATGACTCAGGGTGCCGAAACCAAGACGTGGCACCAGTCGATGAAGTTTCTTAACGCTGGTCTGAGTCATGTGGGGAGATGTAGACTATTAGGCACGGGTCCACGGGATGAAAGGAACCAGTGGTTGAGGACTATAGGTGAAATGGCTGAAGATTTGTCGCAGTGGTGCAGATGTACTTACTGTTTGACGTCCTCTAAAGCTTGAATATTTGCACTAAGCTTTTCTTCAAATTGTTTATTCTCTCACACAACTTTGTCCACTTTTGTCACTCTTATTCTATCCACCTATCTTTATATACTACTGTGAAGTATGGCAACCTGAACTAATGCACTTGTGTGGGAGGTTGTACGTTGATTCTGTCTGTCTGAATACATCTTCCCCATAGTTACCAATTTCCAACCGCCACCACCACCCCTCAACCACTCACTCCTATCATTTCAGAAACCCCAGTCAGGTAGTCTACATCTCCCTAAACGACTCAGACCGACGTTAAGAGACTTCATCAACTGGTACAATGTCCTGGTCTGACCACCCTGAATCCTCTCCCAACCTAATCCAATTTCCCCTAGCATAGCACGTTAAGGTAAGCGCTGGCTCAGCATGAGCAGTACATGTCCAAACCATCTGTCAGATAAAGATCCACAACCTCATCAATAGACCTTCTTAGCTGATCATGAAATTTTATTCCTTTTAACTTGCATGGTCAACTATAAAATATAGATTTACTTAATTATCTGTCGTATATGAAGTATACCAAGATAGATGAGTGCAGCACTGAAACTTACAAAACTTAATTTCTATTTGAATGAAGTGTATTATTCAAATAATGAATGCTTTGTGTGTGTATCAGAACAATAATTCAACGCCTACATAGCCCAGAGGCAAGGCTATTTGACCCAGTATAGTAACATGCCAAGTGATTCACAATAGAAAGCTCAGTGACGCCCTTGAAGTGAAGACACGAATAAGACAAGGTTGCCGCACACTATCAACGATCGTCTTCCCCATTGTGGTCGACAAGACTCGACTCGATCATGCAACAAACTGTGACGAGCAAGAAGAGGGGCATACGCTGCTGTTGGACCGATAAAAAGACAATAGAAGATTTGAATTTCGATAATGATGATGATGATGATTAATGTCCAATGCCTTGTCGCGCAGACTAGAAGATCTATAGGCGAAAACTAACAAGTTGGCAGGGGTGGTGAGACAGCGAAAACGCGACTTCCCTCAGGTGAACGTAGAGGAGACTGAGGTGATGAAGATACCCAACCAGCAACAACAACAACAACAAACACCAGTCACCAGTCACCATCAACGGGAGAAATCTGAAGGCACTTGGCTCTTCCACCTACCTATCTGGGCAACATCATTTCAACTACACGCGGCAGATGCGGCGCCGGCACACATCAGAATATCAAAACCAGGATCGGAAACGCAAAGCAATACACACCTTCATTAATCTGAAATCAGTGTGGAGATCTAGAACAATGCATTGCACTGCACTCAGCATAAAGTGTGCGTGAACAACATCCGGATTTTCAACACTAATGTCAGTCAAGTAAGTCAGTGCTTCTACATGATGGTTGACAGACTTGGCGGCTCGTTACGAAAAGCATTTCCAACAAACTGTACACACACGTCATCAACAACTGCCACCTACACCCACTCACTCACTCACTCGATACTGAAGATTAGATGGATGGTCAGAATAATAAGAATAAGGAGGAAGGAACTCTGGCTTTCTGGCTGGCTGGCTGGCTGGCCAGCAACGAACCAACCAACAAACTATCGCCAAACAAATATGCAGAAGATAGTGGAGATGCATTGGATCGGATTGAATTGGATTGAACTGGACATACACTGAGAGGACCGATTTGAGAAATCACGCACCAGGCCAGGCCGTCGAGTGGGACCCGAATGAGAAACGATGAGTTGGGCGTCCAAGGTGAGGGTGATATGGAGGAGATCATGTGAGGAAGAAATGAAAGGTTATGGGCAGTGGTGGAGCTGGGTTGAAGAGACTGCAGAGAAGAGAGTGAGATGATGACGTGTTAGTGAAGCCGTATGTTCCACTAGGAACCCAGGGGACGAATAATAATAATAATAGTAACAGGAAATTACAAGTATCAATAAACAATATCTGATATTCGCAGCACAGGCAGCTCTTGTGCCCTAGAGGATAACCCCTTGGTGTTTGAAGTTATGGGTACTGGGCTCGAGTCTCAGTAGGAACAACATTATCACTCATTGGGATTCAGGTACATCCAGTTGACTAGTCTCAAAAACAACAAAACGCACGTCCTAGATCCCACCACTAGCCATCAAGCAGATTATAGCGTACAAAATTGGTAAATATAACTTGCAAACTGAGATAATGAGCACAAGGAAGGCAATGATAACTACTACTGACTAACAAAATATAAACTATAAAACATATGCCATTTAGAACAAAAGCGATGAATGGAGGCAATAAACTTACTTGAATTGAAGGGGGTTGTTGAGACACAACTGGTAAATTTGGGATTGGAGAAGGGAGAGATGAACCACCGGCTGGTGTTTGTGAATGCTGTTGTAATGTCGGTTGAAGCTGTGGATTTGTATGAGGATAGCCTTGTGCATTAAACTTAGAATGGATTGGAAGTGTTTGAGTCGATGATAAGGAATGCGGTAAATTAAAATTATTAGAAGTCATGTTAGATGACAATGATTGGTTGGGATTGCACAAATGTGACTTTGTACCACAATGTCCAGGACTTGCAACAGAGTTATGATTGCGTACACCCTGGGACAAAACATGATGTGTCCCTTGAGGTGGCATCACAGGATTCCCATCTGCATGAAAAGATGTCATAGACCCGGTTCGGTTTAAATGGGCACCATGACCAGACATTGTCGGGAGACTGCTTCCAATGGTTGAAGTATACAAGGATGATGAAGATGAAGGAACATATGGTCCCTCAGGTCCAGACATCTGAGATAATCGTGCTAGACTAGCTAGGCTAGCAGAAGTCAAATGCTGCGTACATGGAGTATTTGGTGTTGTTCTCATTCCAACAGACTCTGAATTCGGTCCCATCATATCGGACGATCCGAAATATGAATGGTTTGGTGGCTTATTACTCATATTACCACCACCACTTCCATAATTACTACCTGGACCATAGTTGTTGCTACAATTTGAACTTGCACGACTTCCAGGAGCAGTAGCAGAAGAACAGGATATATTCGGACTCATAGGACCACTAAGAAACGGTTCACCACTTTTCGGAGTTCCAGAATGACGAGGATTGACCATCATCATCATGTCCATATTCCCAGATTGTTCAAGTGGAAACTGTCCTGAATTCGGTCCGCACATCATATCCTGCAAGAAGAAGAATTTATTACACTGTCAGTACAATTAATAAACACTAAGGTTTTGAAAAAGTAGTAGTGAAATTCATTTCCATAGTATCCACCTTTTCCAAACAAAAAACAACTGTTGTGAAAAAGATGAACATATAGTTGACCGAGATAACAAGTGGGAGCTATCAACTCAAGCAACTAGACTGCAATTCTACCTAAAGTAGAACTCATAATGAAAATTATCGAATAGAATACAGGTCATTTGTTTTAGAACTAAGTATGAACAAAGATAGAACAATTATCGTAAATGAAGCAAAACCAGAGGTTTTTCGTCTTATTATACGATTACTTAGCAGCAATCACTGACAACTACTTCAATGGATTGAAAGCAGAATTATTATGATGGCTTCTACAAACATTTTTACTGTATGCATCACAAGTGAAGCTGTGGCTCATTGGTTTAGGAGAATGACTTTCAACCAATGGGTCACTGGTTGGAACACCGGCTTACTTATCGAGTTGGTTTGGGTAGCCAGGTAGTAGTAGCACTAGCCCTCACAACACAATAGGTGTGGCACAGTGTCTACTGCATGAGTGCGCACAAGATCGCTCAGTGCAAAGTCTTATCTAATACGCGCGAGAAAAAAACAGTCGAAAAGTGGGCAATTCCTTTCTAGTATTTTCGCCTTAACAGAAGTGATCACTGATCAAGTAATGAGAGCTAAATGAATCAAACATCGAAGTCATTCAGCGACCTTATCTGCACTTTTGCAGTAGGCAATGAACCACCCCTTTTGTGTGGAGGCTAATGATGTTGCTACCTGGCTACCCAGACCTCGGTAGGTGGGACGGTGACTGAATCAGTAACCCATCGGTTGGAAGTCAACTCTTTAGACGAATTGAGTCACAGCCCCATGGAATTAAATGAATCACAATCAGAATCATTTAGATAACACAAGTAAGTAGACGATTTGAAACACTGAAACGAGTTTTCATTCGTTGACAAGCTACAATGAAATACTTGTTGACTTCATCGAGAAAAATAATCTAAGGATGGCAAAAATCTGTGACAATCAGTGGAATACCAAGTAATAGCAATAATAATCTAAAAAAACAACACTATTTGTTTACTTAACATAATTTAAGCATCCTGAAAAAAAGAAGCCGAAAAACAACAACAAGAGAATAAATTTTATCGAAGTAAAGGAACATGATTTCAATCGTATCATCATGCATACGAACACACGCACATACAGGAGTGCCCACAGTCCCTTAAAACTATGCATATAGTAAATCAGTTCCAGTAAAACGGAGAATCCGAGATGCTGGGGCAGAAAAAAGTATTGCAGAAATGTAAGGCAACTACAACACGTTGAGAAAGTGAGTGGTACACCACACACGCACGCGTGCACACACGTACATGGGAAGGTAAACAGCATCCTTTTGTCCTCTTCTCTTCCTAATGCTACTCGTTTTCATCTGGTGGCAAATACCAGCGAATAAACAAAACAGATAGAATAGTGTGATAGAGAGATATGGATAAGAAATTAAGCTGTTTGACTTTATATATATTTATATATATATATATATATATATATATATATATATATATATATATATATATAACCCCAAGAAAAAAAGGAAAACAGATAAATAAGTAAATAAAAGCAGTTAGAATTGAGTGAAGTGAATAACCGGCTGATAAGGTTCAATAACGAACGCAGTAATCATCATAATACTAGAAATCATAATAATAACTATAACAGAAGTAAACAGCCAGTAGCAAGGGGAAATTTATGACCCAGCTAAATAAAACAAAAAAGAGTTAACCAGAACACGATAAATAGATGAAGATGTACAGGGGTAAATGCGTGGGAGAAAGACGAATAGGAGAAAAGAGAGAAAAAAACTAAAAAGAAACTATACATCTATTGTAGGAGAAAACTAATTTTTTTTTCTTTGCCCCATATTTTTTAACCAGCAACTGGGACAAACTTAAGCCTTATTCATCAAACAGCTAACGGTTAACAATCAATAGACAAAACGAGGCAAAAACATGGAAACTTGGTGTATATATATATATATATATATATATATATATATATATATATATATATATCAAGTAAAGTTTTACATAAGAGATGCCAGTTTACAGGGATCATCAGGTTGGTATAAACCGGAAGAATATCAAATTTGTGTTTGTTTTTCAAGTTATTTGCAATACATACTTTTCTTTCCGGCATTATAACTACTGCTATACCGGTTCGTGAGTGAATATTCATCAGGATCCATCAATCTTCTTTATCAAAGGATTGTGAAAATTCCTTAATATAACCATTGTTTGTTGATATCAAGAGTTGGGACTTTATGCGCTGTAACTAGAAGGTGAGTAACAGATAGAATAGTTGACTGGCTTGGTAGGGTGTTGTAATTCACTGTTTAGTTACATATTTAAATCACTATTGTTTAGCATCTGGCTTCATTAACCTCAAAGAATACATTTAAGTAATCCAAAGCCAGATAGATGCTCATATATATGATAGAGTCAAATGGATGAATGGGACCGGTAATTCCTACTTATCAGATAGTAAATTTCGTGGCAGCACAGTTTATTCTTTTGAGGAAGATAGGATTGTTGAGAATCGGTACCACATAATCCTCATTTCAGTCCCGATGACACCAATGAAGGTTCTCTAGATGATGAGTTTTTGATTTGGTAACCAGTCCGATAGGCAGTTACTGTACGACACAGGTATAAGAAGACCGCTCATTCAAGTTATACAGAAAAGTGTTTCTCTTAGGACAGTTAGCTATCTATAGCTGAGGTTATGACCGGTAGAATCACCGATGGGTTTATAATGGAGCAGAAAATATGAAAACCTGTTCATCAACATTCTGTTACCATGTACTGGTGATACGTGTTCTGTCCCGAAACTGCCAACTTACTTAACTATCAACCATTTAGGTGAGTTAGTCGTGTGCGGTAGCGAATTCTAAGCCAAACACTTCGTATATTTTCAAGGTAAACAAAAGTAGCTAACTGTTGGATTCTTGTTGGATAATGTAGCATTTCAATTATGTTGGGGAATGCACACATGTTACTCTGGAGTTTGCACGACATGACAACTGGAACCGATATCTGGACAAGTAAAGTGATGTGGCTCATAAAATGTTACATCTATACCTTGTCTCTATCCTAACTGTTCATTCATATTTCTTTATTTGCCTGAAATCTCTCTTCTTTTCACCTTATGGCCTTTTATGACTTTGGATGATATAATTTTTACTTCGCTGGTTTACTGTGTATCTCTTCATGTGTCAATGGGCCAACTTCGATTGCTTTTAAAGAATTTCAGATCCCATAGTGATATTCTCTGGATGACTGATTGAATCAATGGTCGAAAGGATAAAAATCGAGTGTCTAGATCGTTGAGTCAAAACTCCACACACACACACACACACACACACAGTCACAAGTTACCTTGAGTGACTTATTTATTGCTACCCTATAACACTTGTGGAAAGTAACAAGTAGAGTATTCAATGGCGACAAAAAATCATTTCCATATAGGAATATCCATTAGACTTGATTTTATTTATATGACAGCTAACGATACCTCAAAATTATTCAGAATGACGAACCATTATGTGAATCATTGAAATAAAACTTTACAAGCAAGTAAATAAGATATATGAGAATGCAACTGTCAACTATTAGCGGTTATGCTTAACATGACAAGAATAAAAGAGAATATACAACTGTAGTTTACATTTACATTGCTGGAAGAATTTAGTCAATATTTTTATTAAACAAACTTAGATATACTTCGTATCAAACATTTAAAAAATAATTCAATTTGAAGGTGACTAGAGGTTGAATGATTTGAAGTTGTTTATTCATCACAGACTAATATATCAGCTAGAGAATCATTCAAAATCTGGGAGCACTGGACAATTGATATCAGTCTGTGATGAATACCAAGTTGAAATTTAAAAGATAATCACAACCTAATAATAGTCAAATTTGAATAAGAATTGATATAACTAAGAGGAATGGGATTACTATAGGCAAAATACAGTCAATTAATTAGGACAATATGATCGATACTGGCTGCTGACATCCAACTGAACGTAGATGAAGTGAATTGAGATCATTGAATCAAGCAAAGAAAAGTTTTCAATGCGTATATGTAAGAGAGGAGATGACGTGTGCATACATAACTTTTCATTTCTAAAAGCTGCTAAACATTTAAAAGTCACCTGCATCGATTCACGCTGAATATAACAGAATTTGAATATGCGATTATTATCAGTTCGTCTACTAGAAAACAGAGTTTGAAGCGAAAATGTATTTTCGGTAAATTCTCATCAGGCTTTACATTTAAAGTTTATTCAGCATAGTCTTCATTTGATACCAAGATGGTTAATTGATTTCGGGTGTATATGAATTAGAAGATAACAATAACAGGGACCCAATGGCTGAATGGTCAATGCGTTCGCCGTGAAACCTGAACGTCCTGAGTTCGATCCCTAGCCGGGTGGTGGGTGGGTACTCCTTAGGAGTCCCATACTAGGATGAAACAGCTGTCCAGTGCTCTCAGATTTTCAATGGTTCCTCAACTGATGTCAGTCCATAATGAATACTACTTCTAAATTTAAAAAAATCCCCATTCATCTCAAAAGTCTCAGAAAGTTTATATATATATATATATATATATATATATATATATATATATATTCTCAGTAGTCAATCCTTGCAGGAGTGTGTGTGTGTACAGGAAGAGAGGAGAATAAAATTATTGTCACATAGAGATTATATATAATAAAATGTTGAAATTCTTAATTATGAAACTAAGGGCAAAAAATAAAATGATAATGATAAAAGAGTATAAACAGAGACACTATTTACACTTATCCGGATGAGCAGGACGGAAATTATTGTAGTTGTATCTGAGTTGAAGTTGACGGCCATGAGAGGGAAAGGCAATGAACAAACATCTTCTGAATACATAAATTAGG